TATCACCTTGGAACCAATGTCCCACTGTTACTGTGTCCCGCACTATGGGCTCGGTCACCCTCCCTTCTAAGGCCCCTTATCGAATCTTATCGGGTGCTATCACATTCTATCACCCACCAAAAGTGTTCCCGTCCTGCCATGTATATCACTTCTTGAAACTGTCGTCCTATCTTTTCTGCGACGCTCGCTATGAATTTCGTGACAGACAGACAGACGCACACACAAACACACACACACTTACAGACATACTTAGCGGATTATATATAGTAGGATGACATTGTTTCATCAGCAAAATGATTGCTCGGCATCATTATCTCGCAATTCATTTCGTGAGGAATTACTGATCAACGATCCAAGCTTAGCTGCTTTCCCGACTTCGTCACGGGGAATTCTCAGTCGCCTGAGGGAGCTCAGTTAATAACTACCGTTGTCAATTGGAACAAGAACGATAGTGGAGCAGCCCAGTTCGCGATTGCCGCTCAGAACCATTTCGAACAGGTACTCATCTAACGATTTTTTGGACAAAATCCTTTGCGGTCCATATACCGATCCATTCTTTATGTATGGTTCACTAGAGAGGTACAGCAATACGTTCTTCCATTCGATCCAATTGCCTTTAAAATTGTAGTTCGCAATTGTGGTAAACCTAGTTCATGAAGTGGCTTGCGGTGGCTTGCCAATCTACAGTCCTCATCATTACGTACTGTCGGGGCGGTCGTGCGGCTGCGCTTGGCGCGGTGCCAAACTCGTTCTACACCAGTTGTTGAAGCGGGCAAGTGACAATACTGTATCATATCCTTCGTATTACTCGTTTTCTACCACTTTTTGTCGCATACGCGTTTCAACAAAAAGGCTGAGAACGGCTTCAACAGTGTGCACACTCATACTGGCTGACACGCCCCACCGGTCCGCAATGATGAGGACTGTACTTAGGTATGCACCGTGCTCCCCGTGAGTCATTGTATAGATCAAATTTCATTCAAAGCGTCACTCTAGTAATGAGTGGCATAGAGCTTTCATGAGAGGAAAGGCATTTGTTTATGTCCTGTTACAAATTTTATGTGATTTCTTTTCAGCTGAACAACGCCTCAGATAGCGGGTACACGCCGCTAATGTGCGCTGTAGCAGACGGAAATTGGACGGCTACTGTAGCACTACTGTCGTTGGGAGCTCAACGTGACGCTGCAGACGCGAATGGAAACACTTTGCTGCATATAGCCGCTGAGAGGTAGGATCTTGTGGGCGGACGATGGGCTGTGTCAAGGGGGTGTCAAACTCTTAATTACACACTGAATTTGTGACGCTTCAGAGGCCATGTGATGATACTTGAAGGACTGCTCATGTTTCTGGGTAATGAAGTAAATCGCCCAAATGCCGATGGTGACATGCCAATGCACCTAGCGGCTCGTGGACAGCATGCTGCCTGTCTCGATAGACTGCTCAACACAAATCACTTGCACAGCAATATTCAGGTATGACATTCGCATAAGTGATAGAAGGGTTTCTTTTGATGGACACCCAAGGAGTAAAGAAGGGTATGTGCCAGCTAGGAATGTTCCTGGGGAACCGTTTTTGAAGTGAAAAAGTAACTGGATAAACTTTAAGAGCTGCTGTTATCGCTGGCTAAGTTTATCGAATGGCAAATTTTGACAAAACACCGTTTCAACCGTTCAAAGCCATCTGCTCCGGTGGAGGTGGCTAGCGTAAAAATTTATCATCTGCATAATACGGGCATCAGACTCGATTCCAGGAGTCCATGGGCTGCGTACATAAAACTACGAAGGGTTAATAGGAAGGGTTACAGTTTCGAGACAGGACACGAACGTGGAGCGCATACATAGAGGATAACGTAAGAATCCGAATACCTTGCGTTTCCTCGGCCGTTTCTTCCGCACGGTGTCGTCCAGCACGCATGCTCATCTTCAGCCCTAAATGAGAATGCATCACTGAAGTGTATATTGTGCTAGTGTATAAGCGTGACTCGCAGTGTTGAAGACAAATTGTGCAATCACCTGCGTGGGTCCTGGTCCTTGCCACGTGCGAGGTGATGAGTCTGCCTCTGCAGCAGCGTGTCGATCTCCACTCGGCAGAGCGCGAGGACGGGGCTGGAGGCTACTCATAGCCACACGCCTAACCATAGCCGAACGCGCTACTTGTCTGCGCCCTCTAATTCCTAAAATGCTCTCTACTTCTGACTGTGGGTTCAATGCTTCTGTTATTGACGTAGGTGCTGCATCTTGAGCATCTAGAAAACGACGTGAGCCGAGTGCGGAACTGTACTCGAGTATCACTAGCCTTCAGAGTGATTTTCGCGCGCTCTCGCGTGATTAAAAGGGTCCAATTGAACTGCTACCAGCCAGTTGTTGTGGCACACGGTAAGTCATAACATCAGGACAATCGGATTCCAGCTGCTCGCTTATTTCCTACCACACCTATGAGGCACATTTTTTGACAGCGAAGACGAGGAGAATATACCGGACATACATACCAGTAGACAGATAGATAGACTGACAGACAGAGAACAGACTGACAAGCAAACAGATAGACACACCTATTGACAGAACTTCAAGCTGACACACGTTGAGATGGCTTTATAAAATGAGATATTTTATTAAGCGAAAGCATCTGCTCCAGTAACTTGTCATCGATTCCACTGTGCGTGAAAACGAGCGGCGCAGTTTATCGACGGGGGGGGGCATTTTGCTTTCTATAGATGTGTCGACCCAATCTAGGTAGCCTTTTCTCGTGTTGACACGTTTTGGGATGGTGGCTAGATGATCTTGCCCCAGCTTCACAAGAGTTCACAAGTTTTACCAGAGTGAGATTTGTAAACCGGAACTAGGGAAGCAATGGATAGTACAAAAAGCAATGATAGTACGAAATGCCCCCCCCCCCCACGTCGATAAACAGCGCCATGAGACACTGCGTTCAGAATGTGTCCGGTGACAGTCCAATGCACATTGTATGTGGTCTCCCCGAGTCGCCAACGAAAATCGCTATGGTTGGACGACTGCTTGCGAACGCTCGTCTTAATCTTCACTTGTACAACGAAGATGAGCTGACACCAGTACATATAGCGATTTCAAAAGATTACTACAAGTGAGTACTAGTTTTTCAACACAACTGAAGCCTCTTTATTTAGCAAACTTTCAGAACTATGGAACTGATCTTGCAATCACGACCACAACAACTAAACGCTGATACCGGCAATGGCTTTCCACCGCTGCTTTTGGCTGCCTTCTATGGACGCCGAAAGTGTACAGAAACTCTAATCGAAGTCGGTTCTTGACAATTTTTCACCAGACCACCCTTTTCTCCCTCACATTTTCTAGTCAACTAATAGTGGAGGGGAAAAACACAAAAGCCTTCCGGCCATAGGTACTATGTAGTGCCCCATGCCATAAGACCGTGCAGGAGCATAGATGAGAAGAGGAAATGCTTGGACGAGTTGACACATGTTGATCACAAGCATATCGGCTATTTTCCCCTCATCACTTTACTCACCGTTCAAAATAGAAAGAGCTGGCGACGAAACAACCGTGCTACCACGGCGGCGATTGGAATGAATGTTGGACGTTGGACGGCATGGGACGAAGGGGGCGCGCGGGCGGGGCATACCCTTAGTGAGCGGGTGGCATTCCTACCATGTATTTTCAGTCAGACAGTGGTACATCCTCAGTGCTTGCAAACCGATCTACCTTACGCAAGGAACAGCGTCTGCGAGTTACAAATACATGGTACGATCACACATAGTTGGTTAGCCCCCAGCTGTCGAAGCGTAGCGGTTTCCCCGTCCTATCCTAACATGCCCAGGAATGGAGATATACCATTTTCACTTTGAATTCACCACTTTTCAAACCAAATTCACCACTTTTCAAACCAAATTCACCACTCACCACTCTTCTTAGACCAGGCAGTTCACCAACCAAATCACGCCAGACACCACCGCGAACCCTGCCCCGACGGTCACGCCTACTTGTCAGCGCGGACATAGATTTTCAACACATGACTGACTCCGCCCATTCTTTAAAGTTTGTTGCGAACTTCAAATCTTCATAACTTTCAATTTTTAATTCAACATCAGGCTCCGCCCCTCTGGCTACGTCATGTTGCTCTTTGCGGAATTTTGATATTTTTTCTGAAATTTTTGCATTTTTGGAATGCTCCATGAAGCCCCGCAAACTGTGGGAAGCTCCGCCCACTCTGGATAAGCCCCACCCACTTTTCAAAATGGTGCAAATCGGCAGTAGAGAGCCATGGCTGCATGCAAGGTATTGCTGGGTGGCCAGTTAGGAAAAACTTTGCGCCTAATTTATTTGTTCCGAGTGACGGACGAGACCCTAGCATGCAAGCCAAGGCTCTATACTGCCGATTTGCACCATTTTTGAAAAGTGGGCGGGCTTCTCCCGAAGTGGGCGGAGCTTCTCGTGGTGGGCTGGGCTTCACGAGGCAGTCCAAAAAAATGCAAAATTGTGGAAAAATATCATAATTCGCAAAACAGCTAAGTGTACGTGGCAAAAGGGCGGAGCCTTGCCGGTGGCCATTGAATGCGCGTTACGAGTGCCTTCGTCTGCGCAGAGTGGGATAATGTGAAATTCAAAATTGAAAAAATTTCATTTGAAGATTTGAAGTTTTGCAACAACTTGAAGATATGGCGCGGACGTCAATCATGTGTAAAAATCTATGTCCGCGCTGACAAGAAGGCGTGACCGTCGGGCAGGGATCGCGGTGGTGTCTGGTGTGATTTGTTTGGCGAACCGCCTGGTCTAAGAAGAGTGGTGATTTACTTTGAAAAAGTTAGTCTGAATTTGCGCTTTGAAAGTGGTGAATGATGCGTTTGGAAAGTGTGTGAATTTAAGGTGAATGTATACATACTGGGTTGAAAAACGCTAATTCCTTAGCAGCCTCGCCTGCCCGCCTAATGCCTTTTGCGGCGCAGACTCCCTTTTATGCTTTGACAAGCCGATTTCGCGCGCAGCGCTATTGGCACTTTGCAAAGCCTTGTATTTGTGCGCTCCGGAAACACGAGTAAGACGCCGATTTCCTGATGCGATCTTATATAACACAGTTGAAGTGCTTGCCCACAAATAAGAGCCAAGATGATGCACGGAGGCGCCTTGAACTCAAGAGCAAAACAACGATGTGCCAGCGAACATCCGTCTGTTGGATTCCCAAGAGGGAGGGTGTATTTTGGCGGCTGGGAAGGGCCGCGCCCGCCGTGGGGCCGTCCCATGAGTGGCGGGCCAGTCGCGCCCGTGACACGAGCAGCGTAAAGGTATCAGTGTGCTAAGTCCTATACAGCGAAACTTATTTTGTAGAGAACTCGGATATGTAAAAAAAATAGTACCAAGCTTTCATTAATTAACTAGCCAACCATAATTTCTCGGCAAAACAACGGATCTCTACCATATCTTGTTCTTCAGACGTTTTTCCCAGCAGATGCTGCCTTTAATAGGACTGAGCAAGTGGTGCAGCGGCACGGATCTCGGCGGCCCCATGCGGTTGCGTCTTCCCCCCTCCGTTGCAGATAATGAGGCAAAGGCGCCCAATCATCCGCAACGGACAAGACTGTAAAAAAGTGCGTAGGATGGCCATGGATCTCCCTGAATCCTCTAAACACCTGCTCGCGTGGACAGGGCATTGCGTGGAATTTGCACCATCTCACTACCTCAGCGTGGGAGCATAAGCATGGCGCATCCTGAAATGAAGCTAATGGGCGTGAACCATTTACTGCTTGCTCCTATTCCAGACGGGATGCATTCTAGATGCATTCCTGAATTATCCGTATACGCCCACTCGAAAAGGTACACAAAAACGGGTTTTCGAGCAGCTCGGAGTGTTCTTCAGAAAATCCTTAATGCGATTATCTCGGTATCTGGATCGCGAAAACTGCGGAAACAATTTAAGTGGTTTTTGGAAAGAGATATACGACACTGGTTTCGGATTTGCAAGCAGTTGAGCTTTAAGAAAAGTATCTTTGTGTGCAATCTCGCTATACACGTTTGCATCGATTTCGACAAATCCCAACTAATCCCCACGCTGAACTTTCTCTCTAGATTTGGCAATCGTTAAGACTTTCAGTACTTTTTCGGCAAGCTCCAACTCCTCTCTCTTCACGCTTCCGCCGTTTTTCTCTTTCCCAACCGTCTGCCTTCAAGGAAGTTATAACTCTGCACGAGTTCCTTCACTTAAAGGCAGCGCCCGCGTTCATTTGTTGTTCTCACGCCCTGACCAGTAGCTCCCCTTGAAGGGTGGTGGACGTGCATGTTTCGCAACCCAAAAATGCGACGGAACAGCGGCGTCCGCCCGCAAAGAGCCGACGGCTCCGCCCACCTGCCGACCACGCCACCCAACTTCATTTCTAATGGTTGCCTGATGGTGCGGTTGTTCCATTGCTGCTTCTCTCCACGTGAGTGGTGAGAGTGAGGTGATAAGGGAAAACAGCTGATATGAACAAGTGGAAACTCGTGCAATCACTCCTTCTCTTCGCCTTAAGCACGTACAACCGTTGTTCGGTATGAAACTCCTTCTAGGGCATTTTGCGTGTTTTCTCTTCGATTTTTCTTCACTAATAGGGCTTCTTTGCTAGCTCGCTTTACTACCCTGAGCCGCACTCACTCACTGCCTTTAAGGAGGCGCCTCAATCAACGCAATCAAAGCGCGAACGCGTGCGCATTCAAATGGCAATTATTCAAATGGCATGGCTGCCAGTTCTTCCCGCGCGCGCGAATTTGAACACAACAGTCTGTAGGTTGGAGCACAGCATCCTGTGCGGTGTAGATCCACACAGCCATTCTCTCTACCAGGAGTTTCGAAAAGAATTGAGGATCCCTAACTCGCTCACTTAAGTGTTAGAAAATAGTAAATAATCGTTGAAACTTTTGTAATTTCCACCTGTTTTAAAGTGGGCCTTATGGCTTTCCATGTTAGCTGAAGTAACACATGTATTAGAACACCGGAGTTCATCTAAACTGAATTCCTGTAAATAGAGGGAGCAATTTTGGGATCCTGTCTTGTGAACCTACGGAATGTTTGGAGTTTCACTCGTACAGAAATTCTTTGGCTGGGTGACGTTCAGTGCTAAGCCAGGGGGAATTTTCAGCTTGGCACTGGTTTTCTTCCATGTAGGTGTTGGAAGAAAATGCCAATAAAAAGGCAAAAAAACAACAAACCTTAGAAGGGGGGGGGGTATCGATCCACCCTTTAGGAGGAATCGTACAGACTCGACGAAAATTCCCAACCAATGATGTTCCCTGAACTGTGCTGCATCTGCAATATACTGTCGCCTAAACCTACACCCGGAAAAAATGCCGGACGAGTTTTACGGGCGCAAGTCGTCCACTTCGTTGTGGGACCACGCGTCCCTTTAACTTCATTTGATTAGGATACTATAAGAGCGGTTTGCGAGAAGATCATCGCTTTTGTGCGTAAGTCATAATTAATATTTGAGATCTGCTTCTGCTTCGATTAGGAAACACATGAAACCTGAGGTGCAGCCGGAAACTTTAGCACACCAATTGCATATTCTGTTTTTTAGAGACTACATCCTCATCGGGTGCCACCATTTTTAGAAGTTCTGCCACTCAGCGTTGGATTTCAGCGCAGGAAGATATCTACAACCTATCTCGGTATTCTGTGCACACAACCGCTGTTATAAGAGCTGTTTGTTAGATATCTGATGCTAGATGTCCGGCAGGCAGAATTGACATGCGTGTTTGGATACAC